CCAGCTGGCTATAGTTCCTTTCAGCACTAGACAAAGTGCGAGAGTAATAGGCGATGGGCGCCTCTAACCTGTTCAGCAGTCTATGGCTTAAAACTGCGCCTACGCCAAAGGGGGAAGTGTCACACACCAACACTAGAGGTAGTTCAGAATTGTATTGGATGAGGAAACTGTCCTCAGACAAAAGTTTCTTTACTGGGTTGAATGCGGCCGCTTCTCATTTGCCCCATACCCAAGGAACGTTTTTTCCAAGGAGCCTGTGCAGTGGCTCCGCAATAGTGGCTTTGTGTTTCAAAAACATGGTATAGAAATTGAGCAGCCCCAAAAAGGCCTGTAGCTCGGTCTTCGATTTTGGGATGGGCGCGTTTTGGATGGCCCTGACTTTGCTTTCTGTGGGGTGAATGCCTGTGCTGTTGATTCGGTAGCCTAAGAATTCCACTGATGGGACCGCTATTTTGCATTTTGCTCATTTAAGTTTGAGACCCGCTTCTCTGAATCTGGTTAGGACTTGACTAACCCTCTGACCTAACTGAGTCTGGTCTTGGCCACTAATTAGAACGTCGTCGAAATACGGGACGACACCTGGGAGGCCTTGCAGAAGGCGCTCCATGGTACTCTGGAAGAGCCCTGGGGCGATGCTAACCCCAAACTGTAGTCTGGTGCATTTAAAGGCACCTCTGTGAGTTACTATGCTCTGTGATTCTGCTGTAGCGTCATCTACTGGCAGCTGCTGGTACACCTGCGCAAGGTCTAGTTTTGCGAATAGCTTGCCAGGCCCCAGGGAGTGTAGTAGATGGTGGACTATCGGAATGGGATAGGCGCTCTGCTGCAACGCCTTATTGATCGAACACTTATAGTCAGCGCAAATTCTAATTGAACCGTCCGATTTGACTGGCGTGACTATTGGGGTTTCCCAATAGCGTGGGAATTCCCAATTAGCGTGATCTACGGGAATTAGCACCCCTTGCTTAATGAGCTTGTCGAGCTCTGCATCAATTTTGGGCTTTAACGCAAATGGAACTGTCTTGCTTTCAGTCTAATTGGCGCTACGTTGGGGTCTAAATTAAAAGAAATAGGTCCCCACGTACTTGCCTAGAGTCTCTTCGAAAACGTCCCAAAACTCGTGGAGGAGGGTTTCTTTGAGGGATGGGCCACCAATGCTGTGAACGCCCGTGAAGCCCATGCCGAGGGCACGGAACCATTTCATGCCCAGGAGACTCGGTAGCAGCTTGCTCACGATGATCAGGGGCAGCTCTCTCTGGAACTTGCCATAGGTGACCCGGAATGTGCTCACGCCATCTACGGGAACTCGGTTTCCCTGGTAGTCGAGGAGGCGAACTTTCTGTCGGGACAGCTGGGCTTTCTGGAAGTTAGGCAGGAGCGCTTTGAGTGTTGTCCAGGACATTATCGATAGTGTAGACCCGGTGTCAATTTCCATTTCGCACGGTCTGCCTTCAATTTCTACTTTTGTGTAGACTTTCTCATTGTCGGTTGTGCTGGCTTGGCCGATTCTCATGCTGTAGGTCTCCCGCTTTTGAGATTCGCGCCGTTTTCTCGTGCCGCCATCTTTGATTGGCTGTTTTGAACGCGCCGGTTCTGGTTGGTCGTGGTAGTCACGTGGCTTTCGACTATGCGGAAATTGAGCTCTGCAAACTTGTGCTAGGTGGCCTTTCCTCTTGCAATGCCTGCAAATGGCATCTCTGTATCTACACGATTGTCTCTCGTGATCTCGCCACAGCTAGAACAGTTCTCGTGGCGGCGGCTTTGTTCGCTCTTTTTCTTTTCTGTATGGAAGACGTCCTCGTCCAACTCTTCCTCTGTGCTGGTTCGCTCCTCCTCTCTGTGGACGGGGGCTGTTTTCGGGCTGTCTTTACTTGGTAGTGGTCGCTGCAATGCTTCAGAAGCCTTCGTTAATGCTTCGTGTGCTCGGGCTTCATCCAGCGCACCGGCTAGCATAAGGTCTGGCTTGGTCAGAAGACGCCTCTGTAACCGGGTGTCTCTAACGCCGCAAATCAGTTGCTCAAGTAGCGCGTCGTCTAAGTCTCTGTAGTCACAATGTGTTGCGGCTTTTCGAAGGGCCGCCACATATGCGCTGACCGGTTCTCCTTCTTTTTGTACACATTGCCGGAGTTCGTAGTGCTGTACAAATTTAGATGGAACTGGAGCGTAGTGAGCTCTCAGGTTGGCTTGAAGGACGTGCCAGGAGACCGTCTGGACTGGGGTTGGCTCGCAGAGAGACTCGGCCATCTCAAAAACGTCTGGCCCGCAGTGGCTTAAAAACAGGGCTCTTTTCGGGTTCGCTGAGAGTCCTTTCATTTCAATCGCCTCCAAGGAGCACTTGAACCTGGTCAGATATAATCCCCACTTCTCTCGGGTTGGATCGAAAGATTTGGGCGGGACGTAGGCAGACATTGCAGTATGTCTCCATAGTCCCCTCGTCACCCTGGCTGGAAGTCCAAGCTCTTTTTGAGTTTGCTTCTTGTGGCCTCAATCCCACCTTCGTCGCCAATGTTGTAGTGCGGGAGTAACGAGAGGCACAAGCAAGCTAGTGACAACAGCTCTTTAATTCAGGGTGAGACTTCAGCAAAGAAACACAGGCAACAGCCCTCCTTATATACTTTTCAGAGGCAACCATGAACCAATCAGAATTCACTTCACATTTGAATTTCCCGCACAAAATAGATACATACATAACAATAATCTTGGCATGCTTAGATTAAGATATTTTATTTTGCAAAAATATTCATAAGTGTATGTTCAGTACTAGTGAATGTGCAAAAATTGAATTAACTTTTTTCTTAATGGGAGTCAATGTAGCAGAAGAAATCTCAACATATGAGCCACTGTTGCATTTTGAGGACAATATTAATTAGTTTAACTCATCAATTATTTATGGAAAAATGCATAGGTATCAGAAAGTATGCATAAATATTTAGCTAAGTATGCCATGCTTCTTTCTGTTTTTCCTTTTTTTTTTCTGCACAGTATCTACAATTGAAAAAATAAAATAGGGAAGCTCAATATCAGATGTGTTCTATTCAAGCTACAGAAAAAAACACAAATAAAAAGGAAATATTATATTTCTGCAACCAAAGACCCTGAAGTTTCAGCCAATGATTACCAGTTTATATAAACAGAAATTAGACTGCAATTTTCAATCACGGTAGCATTTGTGATGAGGGCTCTTTCCAAAATGTATCCTTTGCATATGAGCATGTGATTATGAATCCATCAAATTAACCTTCTCATCTGAGAAGCTAAAATCTACTTAACAGTAATTGCACCAGTCTAGTTTAAAAGTTCTCATCACATCTTCACAATTGAAACTTAGTTGTTTATCTTGTGATATAGTCAGATAATAAAATATAACAATTTCTGAGAACTTAATGGCTGAATTAGAGAGTCAATTTGGTGTAGTGGTTAAGAAACCCAGAGACTATGAGTTATAAACCCACTTTGGGCACAAAACCAGCTAGAAAATATTGGGGCATTCATTCTTTCTCAGCCCTAGATATTTAGCAGTATCATCTGAGTTGTATCAACTGCAGCAATGGTATCAGGTTAATGTGTGGGTAAAATGCAATCTATAATCCTTTGATCCATTTTTTTCAGGCCAAGGACACACTTGGCCTTTGGATAAAGCATGGAGGCATGCACTCCCAAAATAATTTTAATTTCTTTTTATAGATGCAATGAGTCTTTTGAAAGGAGGTTGTAATTAAAATGAATACAATTGGAGTTAAGTAGATGAACTGTTTTCAATCTATATATTGTTAAAAATATTTACATATCTTGTTAAAAATTGACAACACAGTGTAATAAGACAAGGGTTAGTTTGTGACTTATTTTTTCCTAATATTCTTCTACTTTGGTTGTCCAGATGCTTAATCACCTGTCATATATTCTGGAAAGTATCTTCAGCTTCTAACTTTTCTAACTTTCTCATCTTATAAATGTTATGTGGATACAAAGTAAAAGATTTCTCTTGATCCAACATTTTTATTTACCGAAGGATATAAAAATGTTTCACAATCATTTCATACCAATTTCACATCAAGTTAGTAAAAAAAACCAGATTATTGGGCTGATTCTAAATGTAATGTCTGTTATAATGTCTATTCTAGTATTCTATTAAATGTAATATTTATTATATTTTCCTGGTAATTGCTGTTATTACCATCACTTTCATAAAAAGAAATATAATCCTTTAATTTCTAGTCAGAATAAATATATCTAACATTTCTTTATATCTATGATTGGGATTTTTCAGTCTAACAAATGCCAAACTATCAGAATTTCTTCTATTCTTGAGTTAATATAAATGAATTGGATTTGGCAATATCTTTGAAATTAGTAATTCACAGTCTTGGATTTAAGAACTGCTTTACTGAATCAGCCTCAAAATCCATTTTTTTTTTATTCTCACATCGATTGTATCTTGGAAGTTCATTAAGTAAGATGTGATCCAATGTTTGATGAGAGTACTTTATTCTGTAATAAACTGTGACTAAGCAATCATGGCTAAATCTCATGTCTAGAAGTGTTAGGTTATCTTTAAAAAAACTATTTGAGTAGAAGAAGGAAGAACTAATTTCCTTATTTATTCTTTATTTTCTTTATTTGCAAAATGCTGATGATGGTTATAAAAATATTTTACATTGTGTGCTTGGTTATTTGTTTCCAGCAAGAGCAACTTTTTTTTTCTTTCTTTCAAGATGATATATTACTTCTTATGAGAGAGAAAAAAAGAGAAATGCTTCTTTTAGTATAGTTCTTGATTTCATTAGGTTTTTTTTAAAAAAAATTTACATTAAAACCAATGTTTGTCTTCATTTAATAGTTTTGTCTTTATTTTTAAAAAATCTGCCCAATCAACATAAGGTACTTTGTATTTTATTATTTAATGGTTAAGGTACTCAATTAACCTACTCAGTTAAATATTGATTGTTGTGTTCTACTCCAAAGAATAATAACTTGAAGTTAAATGGGACTTTTTATTTCAGGTGGAAAGGCTACAAATTGGGAAGGAGGGATTCGAGTGCCTGGCCTCCTCTACTGGCCTGACGTTCTTGAGCCTGGAAAACATATTTATGACCCAACAAGTAATATGGATATATTCCCTACCATAATTAAACTTGCTGGAGCATCACTGCCCAATGACCGGTATAGAACATAATTCCATTTGTTGCAGAAGAGGCAACTTAAAAACACATAGCTCTGGCAGTTCTGAAGGAATGATAAGTGTAGTCATTATTTATGGGGTAATGTAATAAGTGCCTTCTGCAGCAACTATAACTCAATCATTACTTGAAGAAATGGTATAATCTTCAAGTAATAGTTGAGTTGTAGTTGCTCCAGAATGGCCTTCATACTGTTTCTTGAATTTCTCCATAATTCTGAACAGTCATCTCTGCATATAGCCAGAATCCCCATTTTATTCTATTTGACTAAATCAGTCTCCTGTGTCTTGATCATGAAAGTATCATGAAAGAAGCAAACATACATAAGAAATGAATATTTTTGATTCATGAAAGAGATTATTTTCTCATGTAAAGGAACTGTCTGCACATTGACCACTAAAAAGCATGCAGCAGATACATTTTAGTTTCCACATTAATATTTGAACTATATTGCAGGCATTCACTCGAGGTCTCCCCAAGCCATGTCTGATGAGAAACAAAAGGCAGGTTTTCCATCCTTAATTCCATAGATAAGCATCTCAATCCTACTTCAACATTGATCCTTCATCATACAATACACTTGTTTGATATTTTCAAAACGATTTTTTTCCATGAAAAACTGCAATGGATTTATTAATCATCAACATTTTTGCCTATTGTTTTACTTTGCCTAAAACAAGAACAGTGCTACTTACAAATACTGTAAGTATATGCTTTAAGTCAATATCAATTTTAGCAACTTTTTTTGCAGAAGGAGAGGGAGAAGGAGAGGGAGAGGTTGGGTGGTCACGTAATATATGGAATTAACTGCCAGAGGTATATACAATGCTTGTGTTCTATTTATCAAAAAATGGAAATGCTTAACTCGACAAAAAAATTTTTGTTTTTGGTCGAACCATTTATGGTTTCTACTGATTCTGATTTATTGTTTTTTTCAGAATTATTGATGGACATGATTTAATGCCCTTGCTTCAAGGCAATGCTCTCCAATCTGAGCATGAATTTCTCTTTCATTACTGTAATGCATATTTAAATGCAGTTCGGTGGCATCCAAGAAACAGTAAGTAAAATTGTCTGTTTAAATTTAAATATTTTATATAATTTTTATTGCAGTTTGAAATGCTTGGGGGAAGAGCTTTGGACTCAGGACATGGAAAAATTATTATTGTAACTCTTGATCTTGGGAGCAGGAACAAAGCAAAGAAACTGTTCTATATAATATAGTTTAATGCAAGACAACAAAGGTTTACATTCTCACAGTATTACATTCATGGAATTATAATACAATATATGTTAAAACTTTAATCTCTTATATTATTAGGGATACATTTTCAAATATAAATATATGGACAATACCAGGTAATCTATATATCTTGTTCCATTTTGTAGTTTCCCAAAAGTTTTCTACTTTTGACTATTTTGTTTAACTATATATAATGGTTTTTTTTTTCAATCAGAGCATTATGTGCAATAGGAAAAGAAAGTAGAAAGGAACCAGTAAATTGGCAGTAAATTGGTAAATTTTTCTAGATTAATATATTAATGAATGAATACAAATTAAATAATCAAAACTTTTCTGAAAATTAGTAAATTTTTCTCCCTCCCTCCCCAAATCAGTACAGGTAGTCCTCAACTTACAACCACAATTGAGTCCAAAATTTCCATTGTTAAACAGGACAGCTGTGAAGTGAATTTTTTTTGCCTTTTACAACCTTTTTTATCATTTAACAGTTGTTAAATGATTCACAGCAGTTTAGTAACACTGTTGTTAAGTTAAACTGACTTCCCCATTGATTTTGCTTGTGAGAAGGTTACAAAAGATGATTATATGATTCCGGGACACTGCAACCATCATAATTACATGCAAGTTGCCAATCATCCAAATTTTAATCATGTGACCAAATTTTGATCATGTGGCTGCTGCAACTGTAATAATTGTGAAAAATGGTCATAAGCCACATTTTCAGTGCTGTTGTAACTTCAAACAGTCACTAAATGAATGGTTGTTGAGGGCCACCTGTAAAATAAACTTTTCTCTCTTCCACCACTGTTCTGCTAGTTCAGTTCCATAAGAGCCGAGGTGGCACAGTGGTTAGAGTACATCACTGCAGGCTACTTCAGCTGACTGCTAGCTGCAGTTCGGCTGTTCATATCTCACCAGCTCAAGGTTGACTCAGCCTTCCATCCTTCCAAAGTTGGTAAAATGAGGACCCAGATTGTTGGGGGCAATATGCTGACTCTGTAAACTGCTTAGAGAAGGCTGTAAAAGCACTGTGAAGTGGTATATCAGTCTAAGTGCTATTTCTATTGCTATCAATAGTCATGATTTTTTAAAGATTATGATAAATAAGCTACTTTAATTAGCTATTATTCAGTATGTGAAACATTAACACTGGAGTTTAAATCAGATATAAATAGATTTAACTGGAATTGGCATTTCAGAGTTCAAGGTCAGTTCCATCTCATTGTTATTTGATTAAATAAAATTATCATGTTTTAGTATTATTCTATTATTTCATTTTGTTGCGTTGCCTAGCATTCATGAAGATTTGGTAACACATCATCGTCACTGATCAAAGTGCTGAAGACTTTCCCAACTAGAGGCAGATAGTAAATGGGATACATTTAACTATACTATGGCGCATACAATGAAGGAAAAGCTACTGATTAACCTTTATGTAGTTCCCAGAAAATGAGCAATGAATTACAACTTTATTCCAAAATAAGCTCTATTGTGATCAACTTTATTTCCATCATTTTAATGCTGCTTCTACCCTTCTACAGAAATACTAACTCTGCCCTTCAACTTGATTATTCTGCAATTTATTTATTTATTGGTTTGATTTATATGCCGCCCTTCTCTGGAGATTCAGGGCGGCTTACAATGCGTTAAGCAATAGCCTTCATACTTTTGTATGAATTTATTGAAGTATGCAAAATTGCAGTTTTGTTGTCCAGTCCATTAGATACCTCTTTTTTTTTCAAACAATGTTATTAGGGATTAAAGTTAAAAAGAATAACAGTATAACCTTTTTCAAACTCCATGAGATTTCCTAAGGCTTAAAGATCATTTCTTAACATGAGAACATTGACTATAATCCCTAGAAATTCATTGTTTTATTGTAAAGAATAATTGAATGGTGTTAGCCTAAGAATTTTACAGAACATTAGAAATCATACATGCACACACACTATTGTCCACAAGCCTGCAGAATAATTTTGGATGAAGATCTTAAATGAGACATAACATGCCACCTTTCACCCTAGAAGTTTCCAACAAATAAATACGAGTAGAAAAGTGTTTATCCGTACTTTCTTTTAAGCATGGTAGCATGACAAACGTCTGTGGAGATTCTCAATCCAGGTCATGGCTGTCCCAAAGGTGCTTTTCAAAAGGCAATTGGACTTTCTTGAGCATGATAAGTTGAAAATTAAACAACCAAACAGCAGTCATAAAAGCAAGAGGCTTAGTAAGAATTAGTGTATGAGAATAATAAAAACAATAAATGCAGAAGATAGCATATATAATAACATTTAAAAGTCAGGAAACAAAGTTGCTTTTAGCTGGTAGCTAGAAAGTAACAACATAGAAAAGAGTTTGTGTCCAGAAAACTACACAGGTAGATGTGTAATATACAGTAAAGAATTCTGTCAGTAAGCATTACATCTAAAGACCCTCTGAGTAGAGCTTAATGAAGGCTTATGAAGGAAACAACTCATTAGCCATGCTGCATGAAGCTACAAGTGTTTCAGCTGAACAATGCCTGCAGATCACGGGCTCCACAAATTGAGCTATCCCTTTCATTCTGAGAATGTGTTTTCTCGGGTATGACTGAGGGATGCTGACAAACTGGGGTGTTTCTAAAGGAGAGTAAATAGGATGATACAAAGTCTTGGAGGCAATGGCTGGGGTCACTGGGTATGTTCATTTTGGAGAAAAAAATACTCAGAAATTAGGGATTCCTATGCTGGGAAGTGAATTGAACAGGACTGTCTCCAATGTCCGTTCCAACCTTTTGATTCTATGACTCAGTGACTGGGCTATCACTTACTCTTGTACCCTTTTTTATTTATACTGTATATGACATCCCTTTTTCCTCCTCCTCCTCCTTTCCTTCATATGAAAATCATACAAGAGAAGTAGTTGTCTTTAAATGCTGCTGTCTGCTCACTCTAGTCATTCAATCCAGAATGGAACACACACAATTTTCTCTCTTTCCATAGATATATATATGAAAAGATACATAAACAAAATATTTAACACACACACACACACACACACACACACACAGAGTCAACACATATGCACCCTCCTTGATTAGTCCATGAGATGAAATTGCACTTCCCAACAAGATATGTAAATTAGAGTCATTTGAAAAATAAAATAAAATAATGAAATGAAACAAAAGAAGACAGTGCCTTTCAAATATCGTTTTGACTTTAGTGGGGTATTTGTTGAAATATCATAATGTTCTTTCTTTAGCCTTAGTGGAAAAGTTCTCTTTCTTAGCTCTCTTGCAGTTTTTTTTAAAGTGTTGGGCAACAACATCTCAGCAGACTTTCTTTTCTAAATATAATTTTATTAAAACTTTTTAAAAAGAAGATAAAAATGAATTGAAATTAATATAAAGCAAGAAAAAGAAGAAAAAAGATCAAAGAAAGAGTTAAGAGTACAAAAGTATCAGTTCTTATAAAAAAAAATAAACAGAAGGCTGTTCACATACAAAAAGTTGAATGTACTTTTTCTGTTGATGCCAATTGACTTTTTCTTACATTGTGCAGCCATATGTTGGCCAGATTCTATCCTTCATCTTTTTATGCTATTTTGTTCAGGAAGCCTAGGCGAGGATTCAAACATTGTTCTTGTCTCTTTCATGTGGCTTGTCTCCAGGGACAGCTTGATTGATTGGTCTCTTGACCAGTCCTGATCTTCATAAATACCTTTTAGGTCTTGGCACAATAGAAGAACATTTATAAAGAGTATTCACAAAGTATCCAAAGGTTCCCTATGTAGCTTATCTCTCTCTTGCACATTACAGTGCATAAAGAAAATGTCTAGGTACTTCTTCTGCTCTTTTCCTCTGATATGTGAGCGATGTTATCGGCATAGTATGAGCATTTCAACCAGTATCTCAGTGACAGTTCTGTTGTCATCTGCCTTTCCAGTTTTTTTTCTCCCATTCTTCCAAAATATACACCTGGGGATATAAAATGCCATTGGCAAATTATTATTTTTTAAAATCACAAAGTGAATTAGGGATATTTGCAAACAGGTAATCTCTGCAAAGATGTTGAATATAAATCACTTTGTGTTGATGTGACACTAAATATACAGTTGCTATCAGAACAGAAACTGCTAAATCCTCAATTTTTCTAAGAATTGAGTCAGGTCAGTGGTGGGTTGATCCCGGTTCTGTCTGGTTCTTGCAAACTCATAGTAAAAGTGGCGGGAGGCTCTGTCCACTGGCCAGATGTCATAATGGACGATCTATGCATGTGCAAAAGCTTCTGTGCATGCGCATAAGCTCCCGTTGCAAACTGGTAGTAAAGGTAAGTAGAATCCACCCCTGAGTCAGATCCTTACATTAATTTGTTCTTTTGATCATCTCATTTCTAAATAATTCTGCATTATGATATTACTCATCAGTGAACAGAAACATTATGTTAGCGACAGTGAAAAAGGGGCTATTCAGCTGCTTTGTGTTTAATGCTTTTGTTTTATTATCAGACATACATTTAATGGTTGCTGGGGCATTATTGGTGTTGACATTTGGAAGGCACCAGGTTGCAAGATCTGATTATAGACCTAAAACAGACAAACATTAAACCTAATTTTGATTTTATACCTAACCAATTATTATATATTTATATCATTTGGAATATTCTGCTAAAAGTGCTATTTCAGCTGTTACCAATACGTTCTGATAAAATAATAACATTAGTGGCGATACAAAGAATAACTCAGAGAGACAATAAAAAGGGAAATAAAATTTTAAAATAATCAATAACTAAGCTATGAAAATGCCTAAAAGAATAAAATCTACTTCACCTGCAAATCAG